ATGTAATATAAACACAAAATGAATTCATGTTGTTGTTCTTCCAGGCTCTTTTTTAAGACAAATTTTATTTTTTTTATTAATAAAAAAGAAAAAAAACATTGTCTGCATTTAAAAACCTATAAAAATTTAAAATCTTATTATATAAAATTTTATTTTAAAATTCAAATTTTCAATTATTCTTAAGTTAAAAAATAAAATTCCATATAAGGAATTTTCAATCAGCACTTAATCCAGAGGATCATATACTGGTAGTGGTAGATGTTTACATTTCATTTGGCAGGAATTACATAAAATAGTGAGTTACTTTTCAATCACCCTCTAAATTGCATTAAAAAATATAAAGTTAAGATAATGTTTTCAGTGTTGTAATTCAAATAAAAATGAATTTCTCTTCATAGTGCTTTTAGCTAGGAAATATCTATGAGAACCTCAACTCTTTTTGTTGAAAGTGAATGGTTATTTAGTATTGGAGGTAATATTTACTGTCCAAAAAGAAAGCTACTGAAAGGTGAAGCAGATAAATGATAATGTTCTTACATTATAATTTAAGAATTTTAGGACTTAAATATGAGTAACTAGGTACTCAAGTGATTTACTAAAAGAAATTGTTCTCTTTATTTTTCAAACTATTACCCAATTTTTAAAATAAAAAGGACATCTAACTTTATTTCATAAGCTTTTGTTTTTATTTTTCTACTGTTTCATTAATAATTGTACTTTGTTCACTAAGTTTCCTAAACCAGATGTAGGTTCTGAAAATAATGAATTTTAATCATTGTAGGTATCAGAATTGGAAATTATATTGGAATCAGTAAAAATATTGTTATTGCCTCATCACTAAAACATATTATATATATATATATATATATATATATATATATATATATATATATATATATATCTCCAAGTATAAGATTGGTGTATACAGAATAAATTCCAATAACCAAATATACTATTCTTAGAAGAGTGCTCAATACAGAGTAGAGCAAATATAATTATTTATTCGAAAATTATAACATAAATATGTTATAAAATCACTACAAAAATAGCCATTTTGTTTCAGCACTTCTGCTGTCTTATCAAGTGATGGTGTTGAATGTAGAATAAAGGGTATTAAAAGGTTCAAATCAATCAAACACCCCTCACTAGGGGAAACACTGTTACATAAGCTGGAATGACCAATCAAAAAACAAGTATATGAGAATTCAAAAAACTTGACAATGAACTTTGGTTGTAATAATTATTTAATGCTTTGATGTTAAGGTTGGGAAAGTAGTAATTCCATTAGGAAAGGCAAAATTGGGAAAAAAACATGGTACAGATTGATATTTTAATAATATTCGATGGCAGCACTCTCGAGGATTTTCCTTCCTTCTCTTTTGATGAATGTGGTAATTTTAGATCAAAATTGTGGTCGAATTTATTTCTGTATATGACTAGTGCATTTGTTAAATTAATAAGGTCTTTTTGTGTTCATAGACATATTTTTTTGAAATTTCTGCTTGTTTTCCCAATATATTGTAAAGAGTACTCTAAGCAATTTATTTTATATATGCCTGATTCTGAACTATTATTATGGGTGTTTTTAGATCTGACCATAGCCATGATGGTTTTATAAGTGGTTGTAATTATTTGGATGTTGTTTAGATGGGATAAGATTTTAGATAGTGGGTGGTATAGAATTGGTAGGTAGTATTATGTATCTAGTCTGCTCTACCCAAAGAAAAAACTCGCATAGAATACATGTTAAAAAACCTCCAATATCCCTATCACTTCATCTACAATGCAGGAGAAAGGCACAAAAATATAAAACTACAACAAAAATAACAACATTATCTAGAATAATAAATTAAACAAAAATAGATACAAAAAAAATACACACACACACACACAATCACTTAAGTTTTAAACAGATGGAGTGGTTGGTACACACACACACACACAAAGGTCACAGAGAAGTTCTTAGTCTGGACAAGAGACTTCTCAAATTCTGTTATTTGGTCAGATTTTAGGAAGTGTATAAAGTAAAAAAACTTTTCATCACTCCCTTATTTTTTTTTTTTTTTTGCTCAATTTACAAAAAATACCTGCCTGAATAAAATGAAAGTAAATATTGTTCAAATGTTTAGGATTTAGCACATTTGATGCTAATTCTGGTCCTTATCAATATCAGAAAAAAAAAAACTGGGTTCATTTTTCTCTTATTTCAAATATTTATATCAAATACTTACATATATTTAAATCTCATGTGTCTTTAAACATGTGAATCCATATATAAAAATCTTTCCTATTTTTAATTTTTATTTTTCCCATGTTAATATCATGACATATAATACCTAATTAACATATTGTCATTATTATTTACTTAAATCTATGCATTATCTGCACATGTATATACAAATGGATCCATAAGTTTGTAGCTCAACAAGTAGTCATTAGACAAATTTTGATCAGAAATTTCCACTATATAATGTTGAATCTTAATAATACAACATTAACTACCAAATTAAGTGTATTGACCTGGGCAAAGATTTTGGAGTAAAAGGAATGCTTTTTTAATCATTAAGCTACAGAATTTATATATATATATTTCAAGTCCAAGGTGGAGGGAGAGTATGTAACCTTATATTTCTCCTAATCTCTCTTCTTTTGTAGTGAACTTATATCTGATTGTAAAAATTTGTATTAATATTCCCTAGTTCATTTTTTTTTAAAGTTTAAAAAATAAAATTCAGTATTAAACACTGACAAAAGTTGCAGGAACAATGAAACATTGTGATTTCTCAAAAGATTTTTGTCATCCAATTTTTAGAAAGAGCTGCTGAAAAGTTCTCAGCCAGAACAAGAAGGAATTCCCAAATAAATCCTGGTGTTTGATCACATTTTACAAAATAGATTCAGCCAGATTTCTTTCTTACACATCCTTGTATAAGTTATTCATTAATTAGCAATATTTTTCTGCATGCATGAATATATTGAAAGTGGCCCAAATTTACAAAGTTTTTATTATCACTTATAAGCTTTTGCATTCCATTTTTGTTTAAATAGGAGTATATAGGTTTGTCCATCATCTGGTTCACATTCCTCCTCAGTCTTCTGAACAGGAGTAAAGCTTTATCCCTTGCTTCCTGCTTAGGATTTGGTTTCTGGCTCCTTCAAAATTCTATTTTAACTCTATACTCCTAATGTCTCTACCTAAACTCTAAAATTTATACTTTTTATTTATTTTTTTCCCCTCAGAAGTATACAGATTCACCTATCCTCTGATTCATACGCCTTTTGAACAGAAGTAGAGATTTATTCCTTAACTCCTGTTTAGGATTGGATTTATGTTTTCTTCTAAAGTCTGTTCCTTCTCTTTCACTTCCAGTAGAACCTTGTGTCTTAGTGGCATTATTACCATGCTTGGGGTGAATTGATTATTAAAAAAAATATGTACACCCATACATACATACACTGATTATAATCTAAACTATTTACTTACAACTAAAATCAAATCATAAATGTTTTCAAGAACTATTTGCTTAATCTTAGAATCTTTCATTTTTATTCTATTTATGATTTTTAAGATGTCAATCATTCAAAATATACACCTCAAGTCCTTATTTTTTTTTTTATTTTTAATAGCATTTCAACTCCTTTAAGGTTATTTAATGCTATGATTTGTTTAATGGGGGTATTTCAGATCTAGTTTAAAAGTTGAGTTACTTTAAATGTTTTGTATTGATAAGCCCAGTTTGCACATGAATCAATTTTTCATTATAATTCCTTCCCACTCACAACTAGTCTCTCTTTCCAAAGGGTTAATGAATTCTACAAGGTAGGGACATTCAACTCCTTGATGTATTTGATTTACCTGCTTCAATTCTTTTGTGTTACTGATGTTACTAATACTCTAATGTGCAGAGTTTCTTCAGGACATTGGTGGTCATGGCTCTCTACAATTTCCTATCCTTTGTAACACTTAATAAATTTCATCTTTTTTTTTTTATTTTATTTCTGGCAGAATGGATAACAGAATCCCATTCTGCCAGATATAATTAGGTAAGTTATGTATTGTTTTCCTCTGTTCCTCTTGCCTTCAATATGTCCTGTGAGTATCAAATTTTCCAAGTTCTCTTTCCTTATTACGTACCCTAGAAATTTCAACTCTCTCTTCCTAATGATATGTATAAGTGATCCTGAAAACAAAAACGATACTTATACTAAAACAAAATGTCAATATGCTAATTAAGCAAGCAATCTATATTTACATCTCAACTAAATAATTTCTTTGTAAAATTGATGCTGCTACCACATTTCAAATAATCCATTCTACAGTGTTCTCCAGGTACATAATCTATAAAGAAAGAGAAAGGCTTCTATTTTGGTAAAAAGAAAATGATAGCTAATATGTCAATTTGAGCTATGCAAAACACAGATCAATACTACCAATATAACATATTCTAATTTATACATGGCAAATCCCTTCCTTGTTCAGCAAAGAAAACTCTGTGCTGGTTGTTATAATAACTATCATTATCTCTTTACATCCACCAAAAAATAAAAACAGAAAAATATTACTTTCTTTTTATCTTACACTAGATCATAGTCAACTGAAACATTACAGTAACAACATGAACAATACAAAGTTCAATTATCTTAACAAATCTTGAACTCTTCAAAGTTAAAGGTACTATACACTTTAATATACTCCAGTATACCCCATAATCCTTTCATATAATGTTTCCTTTCCAGTGATTTTTTTCTTATCTAAGATGCTATATAATTTGCCAGAAAAAAAATTGTTTAGTCAGAGATTAGTAAAATAAAATACAATAAAATAAAATGATAGCAAGGGAGAAAAACAAGGATATTTTTGGTAGCAAAGAACAAAAAAAGAAAGAAATTCAGGAGGAGCAAAACAAGTGTGAGAGAAAAACATGGTAAATAAGATTTGGAGGGACATGCATTGGTTCATAGACAGGTGGTAGAAATATCCACCTTTGGACAATACTAACCATATACCAAGGAGAATCAAGAAGAGTTATTGGCAAACAAAAAAGTTCCTGTTATTTTAGAAAGAAAGGAAAGAGAAAATTATTGAACAAAGCTGTTTACAGCTAAACAAATAAACAAAAAAGACAGAAATGTGTGTGTATGTACATCTATATGAATATTATATATATATATATATATATATATATATATATATATATATATATATATTACATACAGAAAATTTAATTGGAATACATACATATATATATATATATATATATATATATATATATATATATATATATGAGGTGCTGTACAAGTTCTCAATCCAACCCATTTCCCAAAATCAGACCAAATATCAAAGCATCAGGATTTATTTGGGAATGGTTCCTAGGTCATGTCAAGAACTTTTCAGTACCCTGTCATATATAAACCTTTGATAAGATTTTTAAGTCTGGTTCTTACTATAAAAGATTTCTGGTTATTTATTCAAGTGTATAACAAAGCGAAAAGGTAAAACTTGGACCTTCATGCTGACAAAAAATGGGGTGTCAAAAGGATGGTTTTTACTTAACACTGCTATTGTTTTAACTACCTTCAGTCCTCAGCAATGATTATTCTTTTAAAAAACAAAAATTAGAATTGTAATAAAATCTAAACATATAGTGAAATTAATTTTTCACATTTTTTTGTTCTTTTGAATTTACAACAAAATAAAAAAAAACTATTCTATATTGCCAATTAATTCAAACTTTATAAAATGGTAAATAAGAATTTTCTTATAGTTGGATCACATATTTTAATAATTTAGTAAATGTTTATAAATAAAAAATTGTTTTTATATTTATTTCTTTACAAATTGGTAAATGATAAACATTATATTGCATTAGTTTTAATTGTATTAGTTTTTAGAATGTTATAGATATAAAATCTTTCTTGAAAATAAAAAATCTAATTGTGTTTAATATTTTTGTTGTAAATTCTCAAGAACAAAAAGAAAATGTATAAATTCACTTTCATCATGTATTTAGATTTTATTACAATTTTTATTGCTTTTTAAAACATTGCCAAAGAGTGAAAGTCGTTAAAGTAATAACAGCGTCCTTTTGACACTGTTTTTTCGGGAGAGGGGGATATGATGCTCTAAGTTTGTCACAAAAAAAATTCACTAAGCATTAGGAAGATCTGTTTTATTGCCATTGTAAACCTATAAAATTCAAATGAAACTTGTACATATGTATACTATACAATTTTCTAATTAATTTAATCAAGAAAAACAGTATTTATTAGTTATTTGTAAAGATTTATCTTAGACAATTGTAAAATTTTCAAATATTATCTTTCCTTTTAAGATAAGTCATTGTTCAGACACCCATGTCTTTGTAAATTTGTCATCTTCACAGTTATTTGACTAAACCATTCTTCATCTCTAATCATGTGTAACCCATGAAGAAAAGAAAACTTAGCTTGAGATATTTTTCTCATGGATTACACCTGATGAAAGATGAAAAATGGAACAACCAAATTGTTGTATTAATAAAGGTAAATATACAAAGAGATCTGAACATACAAATAATGTTATATATTACTTTTCCTGATTATATTTTAATCTCTTTCTAAAAAAAGTAATGGATTTTTATTTATTAATATAACATATTTTTATTACTTTAAACATTATTTTTAGTGGATACTAGTATTTTAGTAGATGCTCTGTTTATTTTAAACAGCATTTTATTTCATCTAAAATGTTCCCTCCAGCAGGATATGAAAATGAGCAGTTATGAACTTTCAAAGTTCTGGAAAAAGAAAAGTGTGCTTAAAAGGTAAAATAGAACCTTGCTTAAACAAGACACTCTTCATAGTTGAAATGGCTAAAACTTGTTTAAAGCATGGTTAATGTTTCTCCTGCAAACAAAGATACAAGTTCATATTCTGCCAGACAATGTATTTTTTCCTGATACTTGTGTGTTCAGGCCAGTAGACAAAATAGTTTAAAAAATAAATGGAATGTCTATTTAAACATGGGTATCCACTAAAAATAATGTTTAAAGTAATAAAAATATTAATCTCTTTAGACTAGTATTTTTAATGTAAGCTGTTATAATCACATTTCAATCATAATGACCGAAATATTACTTACAGGCTTTCTTCAGATATTTGTCACATTGTGTAATTGAAAATTCTGAACTGGACCATATATTCTTTGCCCAAGGGGAGATAATTTTCAATCAATTGTTCTTGCTTGAGGATATCTTATTTGTGATTATTTTACTTTTCCCACTGAACTAAAGAATACTACATGGTTCAGCTATCAAACACCGATTAACTAGATGCACTTAATGATAATTTTCATCTGTGCTTTGGGGATAGAGTAATTTTGGGACTATAAATAAATTCAATTTCCAATCTTTCCTAAACAATTTATTTTTCATATTGAGTATTAATTCTAATTTTGGACTATAGACATTTTGCATTATCTTCCTATAAATAAGACTTAGAATATTATCAAAGGTTATAATCTTTAATAAAATGAAAGCACTTAAATATTAAACAACAGTTTTTCTAATTTAAATAATTGAATTGAGTTTATATAATTTAAAATTGTTTAGTTTAATTAAAAAGTGTATGTATAATATAACTGGTAGGTTTCCTAGTGTATTACATTATAAAACAATAATTCACTTAAAATTAACATGACATTTTTTTTAAATACTGCATATAGACATTAAAAAAAAAATCTTAAAGACAACAAAATTATATTTTGAATATCAATGGTTTTTGTTTTTGTGCTTTAAAATATTCTTATTTTGTGTAATTTCTAAAATAAATGTTAATTGTTCCAAAACGTTAAATTTATTAAATTAAAAAATATATAATTTTAAACTAATTAATGCACAGCTTTTGTTAAAAAGTTTCAATTTCAATGCATCCATTCATATTCTTAATCTTATTTAAAAGTATCATTTTACAAAATTAGAAATATTTAGGAGTAATATTTTCAGTGTTTAGTTGTTGATTTTTCTTCTGAATGACATTAGCAGCCAGAAAAACAGAGGGAAACAGAGTTAAACATCATTAAAAATAAAATCTTAATATTGCAAAAAATAAAAATAATTGACCTTTTTTCTAGGCCATATGGGATACAATACTGATCAATATTCTAGTGCTTTGTCAAATTAATATGTGAGACACACATCTCATGAAATAATCTCTTTACTACTCGCCCCTTTCTCTCTCTCTTTTTTCTTGTGCATCCAATCTTCTCCCTCCTCCTATACTTTTACAATTTTATCTTTTTTTTTTACTTTTGGAGTATTCCATCCTTTACCTCCTATAACTTCTGTTTTCTTCTTTCATTTTGTCTTTTTACCCATATTTCTCTCTTATTTTTCCCTTCCACCCACTTCTCCATCTCATCTTACAGGGATTAACATTACATTTCTACAATTAGAATCAAACTGAAAGTTTCAATTAATTTATTGGACTTTATTTTCTGATGATTTCATTATTCAAAGTTACAAATAGCTACTGAAACAATATAAATATACAAAAACCAAAGAGGAATATTTTAACTCCTATCCTCGCAGTGTTACTTTAAACTGACACCTTTTTTTTATATATATATTTTGACCATTTTGCTTAAAGTTTATTAATTTCAGATGAAAATTGGGATATTTCCTATATATTTCAGTGTCATTTTTATTTTCAAAAATTATATTTTGTAATTATAAAAACATTTTCTATTTTTGTTTCAGATACTATCCTATAAATGCACAGAAACATTTTTATACATCGGAACATTGTTCTGATGTATAAAAATTGATATATCGTCTTCTCCCATTTTGTTATTATACTTTAGACATAAAGAAAATAAAGGTGTCATTTTAAACTGACACCAGGAAGATATGGGTGAGGGAAATATTTTGCTGCTTTTTATAATTTACTTTATTAAAATAAATTAACAATTTCATGTTGGATTATATTATATAAATGATGCATCATGGTGACCAAGAAGCAATAAATTTTATTATGATTATTTCTTTTGATATGCCGTATTTCATCACAATTCCTGATTGTGCTTTCTAATTTTTACAACCAGTAAAAGAAATGTTAAAAAGACAGATTAACAAACTTAAAACCAAATGTTTAATTAGTTAATTACTTAGAAAAAAAAAAGAGGCTGTCACTTATGTGTGTCTTGGAACCAGGGTTTAGTTAGTTATGAAAAACTATACTAGAAAGTACATAAATTATAATCAACAGTTATAGTACTCAGATTGATAAGAAAAAAGAACAATGCAAGAAATGCATTTTAAAAGACATCTAACATATACTTTAATACAATGTTATTATGTTTTACGTCAGAATCTTTAAGATGAGGAATTATCATTAACATATGCTTTATTATTCAGACCAGCATGTTCATTTTGATCATTGTACTCTATATCTTTCTTCAGGTGTTACTGAGTACAACACCTAAAAGAAGGCTTGTAGGTACAATGGTTAAATTGTTATGAGTATAACAACCAATATTAGCATGTTAAACAGAATAGTAAGTCATACAATAATGATAGTATGTTGTTTATTAAATCTGTAAAGTTTATAGCTCTATGAAATAACAGTTCCATACAACTTGTGCAAATGAATCCCATGCCACCAATTCAAGTGTATACTAACTTACTATTAATATGAAATATGATAATTACAATGAATTTAAATATATTTGTATATCTCATGATCCTAACAGAATAAATCTGAGTACAGTATTCAAAACCAGTGTACTTGATTTAATGATCAAGTACATTATTAATGATAATGATTTCTATGTTATTTTCAAGAAAACCAAAGGTTCCAATTAATAAATTAATAAAAAGAATAGAAACACACATTAGAGATATCAGAGCAAGTTAGTCTGTCTGAATAAAATTGAAACAAGAATTTCTTAAATTAAGAGTTCACAAGAAAAAATATTTCAAGGTTTCTTGTTTATATCTTCATTCCCTTTGCTTGCTTTCTTCAATGGATTTATCAATGACATCTTGTTTTTGTTTTGTTTTTTAGTATTCAT